ATATGACGGATAACGATTTTATGATAGTAACGAATGATCATGTCGGTTATGTGGTTTTGGGAGGCAGGACAAAAGGGTGTTTCGCATGATTATCTATTTGGGCATAATCCAATCTCCCTCCAACGCATAATAAACCTTCTTTCAGAACTGGACTACTTGATGAATTAACGTTCCCGCCTTTCGAAGCATCTTCTTCGTTGTGGTTACTGGACGATTGGAACTAGACAATAACTGGAATACAGCTGGAAACGCAGTGAGCTGAACACATTTGAGAATTTCTCTTTCCGCTACATCCAATTCGCTCAAAGTTAAATATATGAAGTATCCTCTTTGATGTTCATATGACGTTGTGTTACTTCTTTCTTGAACCTTGCATCGAAGGTACTGCATGCTTATTTCGTAACCACCAACCCACTGCTCGCTTTAATTTCCACCAATTTGAATAGAACGAGATTAAATCGTCCAAACCGTTGCCTTGTACAGAAACTGCATATATCTGGGTTTCCTTTCTGACTTCTGGATCTTCATTCTTTAAAATTGGTATTTCTTGCAGTCGAGCCCATTCACTCTCGCTTTCTTTCAGAAACTTGGGACTCGTTAACCAACGATATCGTTCTGAACCATGACGCTTACCTTCATCCCTTTGGAACCGTCATCAACAGGGTTGTCTTCACGATTGATATAGTTCCATGCTAATGGTAATGTTAGTAACTAATCCAACTTTCTCTTGTCTGAAACGAATTAATACTCCAACTAATTGATTTCTTTGATAAGGATCAGACATCAATTGCCGATTTAACGATGTTCTTTTATACGTAGCCCCACAATCATACACTACTCTAACTTTTTCTGGCTTGAGAGGGTGCACGACAGGAAGATGGGGTACATACCAAACAGGTTTATCATCAGGTTCTAATTCCTCCTTCGCTATCTTCTCAGCGTGACCGTCGTCAATATAGTTATTCATTGTTTCTTGGTATTTAATATGCAGATTCTCGCTTTTCATCAATCTTTTCTTTCAGAGGAAGGCTCTTCGTAATGCGATTATCTTATTATTCGGCAAATAAGGAGGGTTGTATCTCCAAGGTAGGGCAACTTGGTAATGTCCGTCGACCATTGTCAAGGTTGATCCCATTATCTTCAACGCCTTTCTGTCTTCCATCGAATCACATGATTTGCTGTCAAGGAGCGAACCGTCAAAGTCCGTTTTCCATAAGCTTTCAAGCTGCCGATTGAGATCATCATTCTGACGTTGGCATTCGATTTCAGTCTCCCATGAACAGGAAGATTGTATATTTCTCATTTCCTGCCACATAATCGGATCACTACTGCTTTCGCTTGATCCATACGATTAAAACATTCAACGCATTTCGCTGAAAAAGATTTCTCAGTTTGTTTGGTGATACATGAATTGTCCAATGTACGTACGAAATTAGTTGAACAAACTTCATCGTCCTTTTGTCCACCAACAGGCCTACCACCGCCGTCCATCCTAAGCTACATCTGACTCGTTTGATGCGTTCACTTCGATGCAATTTCATATGACTAATCGATTTAAATGAATATAACTGGAACGCTACATTCAACCGGAAATTTGAAGCCAAACTTGAAGGCCACTCCCAGTCTTTTCACGCATGGGAAGAGCGCTCAATTAGTCAATGATGATATAAACACGTGTGATCTTATGTCCAGACACGCGTGTCTGGAGATAAAATTTGTTTCAAGAAAAAGATAGGTAACTTCCCAGCTATATTCATTTCAATTTTCAATAGGTTAACCACTGACACTTTTGGCGCCACCAAAACCATAGTTAATGAGCTTAAGAATAAATCCGAGATGGCTTCATTGCTTTCAGACAAAATATTCCAATAGTTAAGCTTGAGAAATCTGCAATATGATTTAATACATAATATGTTCTTTCGAATGTCACACACCATATTGAAGCAAGAAGCCTAATTTTGAGCATATTTGTGCATTATTTGGACAAAGAACGACTATTGCTAAGTGAATAAAATGCCGCTTTTACTACCAAAATCGGAAAGCGTCTAAATCATCAATCAGTTTAGTTAGGCTATGAACACTGCTTACCAATTGAAGGATATTGGAACTTAAGATTTAACGCACAAAATAGGATGTCACGTGTGTTTTACTTAATTGACAGAATAATAAGTTTATACATGTAACACAACGTTATTAGCTCTTTGCTAACTTATTCTTTATAAAATACTATATACATACGTGTTACCAAGTCCTACTTGGTAGCGAATTGACACACGAAATATATCTGACTCCTATAGGCTCCCTCTCACCACCAATTCTGTATTCTATTGGTAAGAATAGGGAGGGTTCTCCTGAAGGCCAATCACCATATATAGTTAAGCATATTTTCGACAAACACACTTTATCCCTTATTATAAATGCACTGGTCTTCAGTAAAATGTATTATTGTTCCTCCGTTTGGTCGAACACCTCTAAAAGGAATATATCAAAACTGCAAAGCGTGCAGAACTTCGCGGCACGCGTTATTACTGGAATCAGAAAATATGACCATGTGACGCCTATCCTTCAGCAATTAGCTTGGCTTCCAGTTGAGTGTATGTTAAAACTCAGGGATGCGGTTATGACATATAAGTGCTTGAAAGGGTTAGCTCCGCCGTACTTGTGTGACAAATTCCAAATGAGATCAAAGATTCACAGTGCAGTTAACACCAGAAATAAGGACAAGTTAGACGTTCCACTGTATAATTCGGCTTCTGGACAGCGAACATTTCATTATCGTGCAGTGTCTATTTGGAATGAGCTCCCAAATCATATTAAAGACATTGACACTTTGGACCAGTTTAAAATAGAATATAAACGTCATTTATTGCATGGATTTTTAGAAAGTAGTTAATAGTTTTAGACAATTTGGACTTGTTTAAATTAGCATATAAACGTTTTTACTGTATGGATTTTATTAGGAAGTAGTTAATCATTTTTAAAGTGACATTACTAATAATTATAAAATTTTTAATTTGTGTTTGTATGTATGTACGTATGTTTGTGGGTGTATATATATATTGTTTGTAGTATATAAATGATTTGTAATTACCTACTGAAAAGCCCTTTTGGGAGCAGGCAATATTGTAATAATAATAATAATAATAATAATAATAATCAGAAGTTGTAGCCGTCTTGAATTATTAGGATTGTCTCTCCAAACATGTCTCGAAATTATGCATAAAGGAAATATAGTTCACTGGGTCCCCATCAAAATGCATATATTTAATTCTTGGCGTCGAAACTACTTGACGCAATTCTCGTATTACTGCTTCTCCTGTGTCCACCATCCTTGGCAAAGGACTCCACATCACGATGAATATATCGCTGCGGCGGTTGAGATGGTTGGGGCCAAGGGGTCGTTGACCGGACCGGCTATATGCTCTCCTCAAGTCACAACTATATAACATGGAGACAACATTTATGTGGAGAGTTTGAAGAATTGGAGTTTCCTACAGGTCTTTACATTAATAAAAATATATATGACAAAAACGGAAAATGTTAGATTACGGTAGCCATTCCTTGAAAAACTTCCAAAAATGCCCGTTAAGGTGGTTCGAAATATTTGAATCCTCACAAAATCCTTTATACAAGAATCACTTAAAAAATCTTTATGCTATATTAATGAACCTACTCGTGATAATTAATTTCCGCGGGAATATGAACTAAAGAACCAATTCAATCGGTATGGCCTGACGAGGAAGTGCCCATGCATGACTTACCAATACGGGTTTATATCCGGATCAAATACCACCCTTACACTTATCTCTATGATTCATCGCTGGTCAGGGGCAGTTGACAAGAGGGGCAGATCTATACGGATACTCTTACGGACTATCGTAAAGCATTTGATCTGATAGATCATAATATACTTTATGAGAAGTTACGGAAACTGGGGCTGAAACCGTCGGTTTTTAACTGGATTGTGGACTTTCTGTGTGAAAGATCCCAAAGAGTAAAACTAAACTCAAATTGTTTTTCAATGTGGAAACCAGTTAATGCTGGAGTTCCACAAGGGACAATGCTCGGCCCTTTGTTATTTATCGTTATGATAAATGACCTCATGATCTCAGATGATCAGTTTATGGGTGATATGATTAAATGTGCTGATGATACCAATATTTGGGAATACCTTTCTTACCAAGATAGTACTGATTCCATTCAGGAAGTGGCAAACTCTGTTGTGGATTGGTCCGTTTGTAATAAATTTAAACTTAATCCAAAAAATGTAAGGAAATGGTAATTAACTTTCAACAGAACCGGCTAGAAAAGGCAATAAGTCTGGGGATGTCGATAACTCAAGATCTAAAATGGAATGAACATGCTAGCAAAATAACTAAGAAAGCTGCAAAACGTCTTTATCTACTGAAACAACTGAAGAGGTCTGGTCTTGATAGCAAAGATTTAATTAAAATGCTTCTTTATTGCATTCATCAGAACGATCCTCGACTATGCTTGCCAGGTTTTCCATTATGGCTTACCTAAGTATTTAGCGGACGTAATTGAAAGAATTCAAAAAAGGGCATTGCGTATAATTATCCCGGATCTATCATATGAAGATGCCTTAACTACTCTAGATATGTAGAGTCTATTGTTGAGAAGAGAAGATCTGTGTAGTAAACTTTGTAAATTAATTGTTGACGATGAGAATCATAAACTCCACCATTTATTGCCTATGAACTTTCCAGATATTTATAATTTTAGAAGTTCAAAACAATTTTATATTCCTAAGTTCCGTACAAACAGATTTAGGAACACTTTTATAATGTCAAGTTTCTTAATAAATGAATAATATATTATGTAGATGTCTTCTTACCATTTTATTGTATGTATATGTATATGTATATGTATAGTAATTTATAAATTATAAATTTTAAATTTTGTATAAAATTTTGTAAAGCTTCATGCAATTCAGCCAAAAGTCTGCCATATGATTCTAATAAACGGTTTATCTATCTATCCATCTATCTATCTCGCGTTTGTCAGGCGTCTGACTTTGTCAAGCTCTGCTCATGCAGTATATGCCGAACTAAACGTGCAATTCGCCAGACCCTTTCCCTTCCTTTCCTTTCCTTTCTACAGCCCTGCATGCCGTTGTAGAGAAGGGTAATAGGAAGGAACCAAAGATTCGTATTTTGCATATAATCCCGCTCCTATTGATTTAGTAACTTCCCCTTCTATACACACTACCATAATATAATTATTGTATCCCTAATTCTTAAACGCAACACTTTCACTCCTATATCTTAACTCTAATCCTCGTGATATAATTTCGGAACAGCGCGTACCGTGATGTGGAAAGGAATCTCAAAATTTTAACGAGTTCAATGTGTATTTTAGAAGACAAGATCCAACTGGATGGCTGAATTATAATGCACCTGGAAAACGGACTTTTGATGAAATACAATTCAAACGGTAAAGTAGAAAATTTTGATCTTCAGTTAAGGTTGCAAGACAACGTTTGTGGCTTTCTGGATAAATGCGAATATCAGAATATCAGAAAGGTCTTAAGTTGACAAACAATAAAAAGATTTATAAAATCGTGATAGCTTCACGGCTCTGACTTATACTACGGCCGGTTTTAGATAAGATATATTTTTCAAGATGTCATTCTTTTCCAGCAATTTAGCTGTTTAGTTTCAATCATGCAGAATGGCCTGACGTGTAAGTTGCTCAAGGCATCTCGCGTCGGTCAGGCTTCTGCCTGACTTTGTCAAGCACTGCGCGCGCGCGGTATGTGTCGAATTAATATACGTGCAATTCGTCAAACCCTTTCTTTGTACAGCCTTACCGTAGTAGAGAAGGGTAATACGAACGAACAAAAGATTTGTACTTTGCATATAATCCCGCTCCTATTGATTTAATAACTTCACCTTCTACACACCATTATAATATAATTATTGTGTCCCTAATTGACTAATTCTTAAACGCTACACTTTCATTCCTATCTTAACTCTAATGCTTGTGATATAATTTCAGAAACGCGCGTACTGCAATGTGAAAAGGAATCTCGAAATTTTAACGAGTTCAATGTGTATTTCAGAAGACAAGATCCAACTGGATGGCTGAATTATAATGCACCTGGAAAACGGACTTTTGATGAAACACAATTTAAACGGTAAAGTAGAAAATTGTGATCTTCAGTTAAGGTTGCAAGACAGCGTTTGTGGCTTTCTGGAAAGAATCGCTACCGCGCGCTTTATATAAATGCGATTTCTATCAAAACTTCATCAAATCTTCATTGGTGCATGCAGAATATCAAAAGGTCTTAAGTTGACAAACAATAAAATGATTTATGAATTATACAGGAATTTTAAAAATCGTGATGGCTTCACGCCTCTGACTTATACTCCTGCCGGTTTTAAATAAGATATATGTTTCAAAATGTCATTCTTATCCAGCTAATTAGCTGTTTAGGGACCGTTCATTATTTATACCCGGGGTTGGTACCGAAGGGAAGCGAAAAACAGTCTATAATTTTTATTTACCCAACCTCAACATTTGTCAAAATAATGTTTACCCAACCCATGTGTTACTGTACTTCATAATAATTAAACACACAAGATTATGGTGACAGAAATCAAGTTGACTAGATTCTAAAAGCTCACTCTCACTCAAAATCACTGAGTCTGCCAAATAATATAAGAATTCTATAAGAATGGGCGGTGAAACGCATGCAGTGAAGCAGCTGAAACATGTGTGATGCACTTTAGGCCTGGGGCCTAGCGTGCACAACAAGGAGTTCTAGAAGAAAACAAAAAATTTAAAATTTTCAACAGGCTTCATTAAAACGATTGTAACTTGGCAGTTTTTGACGCGATGTCCGAGATACCTTTTTCTTGTGCTACTCAGATCGTTAGCAACCGCTGTAGTGGCGAAAAAATGTTTCTGTAACGTTGATCACCTAAATATTTCAACTTCAAAACTATAAACTTGCGTGTCAACTTCGTCGGTTCTTACGTAGACGGCAAATATTTGGATTTTTTTCAGCGAGGAAATGGCCAAATGGTATTAAACTTTAGAGTTGTGATGTACATTATGTTAAAATTTATTATGCAAGATTTCATCGTGTAGTTTTTTTACCCTTTTTTGCAATCGTTTATAGAATTTAACCTGTTCAATTTTTTTTACAACACAACTGCTTTCGCAACTACGAGGTCTAAAAATACCTATGTAAAAACCTTGAAATCATATTTTTTGTTCACTTTATGTGCCTATCTGAAAGACAAGATATATGTTTTCCTTGATGTGTATATATTTAGACATTGTGTGAGTAACAATACAAGAAAATGTTATCTTACTTGGCAGCAACACTTGACCGCGTCGCTATGGCGGCTTCGAAATTTTCAACATGAAATTTTTCCATAAAAAATTGAGATGCTTGCTGTGGCCCAAGTATCTGGAAAAATCGCACAATAACTGCCCTAACTATAATAGGATCTATTTGACCTGAGTACGCTAACACAACTTTTTGACCCTTTTTCACAATTTTCGCTCGAAGTCTACAACCCAAAAACTAAAATGGTCTTTACAGCATTTAAAAGTGCTCAGGGGAATGGGACGAGTAAACTCAAAAAACGAAGGGCGGGAAAAATAAACTTATGAATATACAAAACAATATGCAAAACTGATCTGAATACACAAATGTACAACGAAAAACACGAATACGAAACCAAACAAACTATAAAGTAAACAAACCAAACCAAACCACAAACCAAACCTTAGAATTTAATTACTAACACTACATTGCTACGCTATCATTAAACTACATTGCTGCATAAAATCGACAGCCAAACCATTACTTTGCGCGATATGAGCATAAAATGTTCACCAAACATGCATTATATTATTTCGAAGATTTTAAAACCGCGACTTTGCGCTAAAATTATGTTACCATGGTAACAGAGTATCTTCAAAGATGTACATTTCCCCCCTTTTCCTTGCCATTTTGAAGATTTGCTTCGGTAAATTTTTTTGAAAATTTGCATATCAAATAGTAGCGATTCAATTATTCTCTTGCTATATTTTAGAAAAATTAAATCGATAGGTTTACGAGCAATGAACGGAAAAGTAAAAAAAATACATTAAAAAATATTCCTTCGATTTAATTTCGTGAAAATTTGTATTTAGGTTAACGGAAGTATCATCTTAACCAGTATGAAATTTAAAAAAAATTCACCCAAGGAACAACAAGAAATTCAATGTTGTGTTTTTGAGTTTTCGCTGATATTTTTTTTTTAATTTATGGCTTCGCGCGAGAGGTCACGCGTGTTTTGGAGGGAAGGAAAACACGCGTGTCCACTTGCAAACATCGTTTGGAAATTGGAATATGGCAATATTTAGTTGAGAGGTTTGAAAGACTTGTACGCTCGAAGAAAATGATGATTATATTATAAATACCTATGATTTGATTTTTTTGGTGAAGTGATCAACAATTGCTGCTAAAATTCGTCTAGTACGTGTTACTCTAGGCGAGGACAGCGATAAATTCGATGGCGGTTTCGACAGAATTGCAATTAATCCATCTTTGCCGTACTTAATAATATAAACTTCGTTCAAATCCTTGTATGTCAAACTAGCACCTGCAATTTTCTCAGCTATATTCTTCGTCAAAAAGCCGTTATTTGTGCGTGGATTAAACATGATTTCGTTGAAGGTTTGCATATTTTGGTAGCGACGATCAAGATAATCCATGTCCTCGACAGCGTGGTTTGTTGTTACAAGTTGCGAATGATCGACTATCGTCCTTGTTGACAGTTCAAGCTTGGATGAAAATACAATTTTTCGAAGAGCAAGGACATCTTCTAAGGAGTCGTGCGCATTGAATGATTCTTCAAACAAAGCCTCGTAAAGAGACGATTGATTTGCTTTTGGGAATGTACCGTCTGCATTCTTTAACTGTGGACATTGACATTTAACGAGCTGTTTGAATAATGTCAGGGAATCAGCAAACCAAACGTCCATCAACTGTAAATTATGTACAAAACTTTCCCCAGCGTTTCGCAAAAGTATTGGTTATCGAAAGTGGCGACGTTGTGTCCAATAAGTACAGTAACGATGGGTTTGTTTGACGTGGCTTTTGCTCGGTCAATCGACAGTCTGTGATATATATCTCTCGAGTTTGGTTAGGGCTTCGCAAAAAAGTATGGAAGGTATGATATTTCATTTTTAAAGAGTTTTCGTACCCCTTCGATAGTTCTTATTTCAAGATTATTTACTCTTGAAGCATAAAAGTCGATGTCATGTGTTGGCAGTACATATTCTGAAAACATATGTGAACCATGCAGACATGTCACATACTGATAATTGACATATTTCGGCAAGCTTACCAGTTGAATTTGTTTCTGTGTCAAACACCAAAAAGTTGTAGTAATGATTCTCGTCAAATTGGATTTTTTTTACTTGTGGTCTAGGGGTATAAGGGGGCACAATGTTCTCAATTTCTTTAAATTGTTCTGACGACATTGCTTCATCATTCACTTGAATTTCTGGCTCTGGTATGCCCTTTCTCAAATTCGTCTTAGTCGAGTTTGTGTCAGTGTTTAGATTTAATCCAACCCCAGTTTGGTAGGTTGTACCCTCCTTTGCTTCTTTTCTGGCAGTTTGGGCAGCTCTAGGTGCTCAAGTGCTTTTGAATACGTTGTCTTTTAATTAAATTGTATGGTCAATTTTCTGTCTTTATCTTTATTTATTTTTGTAGTCATCCTTTTGTTGTAATTTGTGCAAAATGTCCCAGGTTCAATATTGAGTGCCTCCAATGTTCTGTCAACATAAGCATATCGGAGGTTTCTTTGGGCAACAGCACATGCAACCCGGAAATCGTTGCTGTCACTACCACCATAAAATCTAATTTTTGGATTATTTGATCCAACTACACTGTTAAGGGTTTCATTCCTTTGTGAATTTGAACACGGTGCAACTTTGTTAACCACAGTTTCAGTACAGTAGTCATTGAATAGATTATTAAGTGCTTTCTTAAGGCTTTCACCAAACAGATCTTAACCATGTGGAAGAGTTTGTAATTGATTAGGTCGCTTTTGTATCCACACCAACTAATGTTGCACTTTGTATGGTCTCCAAAAGCATGAGAGACAATGCATTCAATTGCTTTTTTTATTTCTTCTGGATTGCCTTTGTTTTGAGCTATAGCATGGGAAAAGCATTTGACCAAATAATTAATGACCTTTTGTGATAATGTGGAACTGTTTGGAAATCTTACATTTTGTTTTAAGTTATATAGGCATGTAGTTAATGATCATTTCGTATGTACGATGTCGCTTAGTTTTTCAACCTTGTATCCAACTTTTTGGCGAATGTGGGCTTCTGTTGTGGAGTCATCGTCTCCAGTATATGTTGAGTATTTTACATTATATTTAGGACCATTATTAAACAATTCTACTGCAGCTGAAGGTTCCATTGCCTTTGAGGAGTCCGTATGATTTTTGCGACAGTCGTGAGCTTTTACAGGGGCATTGTTTCTTTTAGCATAATCACAAAAACGGCAGACTTTTACTCTTGTTGTGTAGTCACTACACTAACACTTCTCCTGTTGTCAAACTCATAACAGCGGCTTGTCCAGTCAAAGAATTGTGGCCCTTCCCTCTCTTCTGCCAGCCCATATCAAATGAACAAGGGACAGAGACTAAATTATCCTCACTTCATTCGGCTGTATTGGTCATAATCTCAGTTCGTACTAAATTTGTTGCTTCCTCACAACTTTTTTTAGCGATTGCTTCAACAGCCTTCCCAACTTCTCTTTCTCTATGTTTAAAAGTATTTGAATTTATTGTAGGTATGTTCATGCAAGATAAAATATTGTTCATATGACTTTGCCCAGTACCAGCATGGAGGCAACCAAGAGTTACTCGTGAGTTAATGTCAAATGCCTTTGGACCTCGATTACCAGAACTGTGTTGTTTTGAAGTTTCAGCCTTGTTCAAATGACCACAAAAGGGACAGCTGATATAAAACGTACTGCATGGCTAGGCCATTTCTCTGTTCATCACAAACACTGAAGGGCAAGGGACCTAAATGAATATAGGTTATATATACAGTACTATAGCTAATAGTTTATCAGCTAGGGCATGGTTTATTCTGTTAGCCCATTGAGCCGCAGTGCGCCCTACTTATTTTTTTATTTGTCTAATGCCAGACAATTTCACTAATCGATGGCGATGCTCTGCAGCTTAATGGGTCAACCAAAAAATCTGACAATGTCTCTAGTTAAATATGTAGAAAAATCTACATTACATGAGCATGTGAGGTTTTATTTTCCACACTTACTCAGTGATTAAAATAGTCTATTAAAATATGTAATATGCAGCAAAACTTTATCTTTGTGTGTTCACTGTACCCTAAGTCTTAATAGTAAATTGGTATTAATAAATTTACCTGAGTGGCAATTGCTGCAATTTTCAAAATATTTATTGAAGTGTCCAAGATCTATAATTCTGCTTCCATGCACAACTGCTTCTTCTTCAGAAACAGCATCCTAGAATGTGTAAGTATATTGAAATAAATAGTAATATTGACATATTGCTTGTTTACACTTGATACTAGTCAAGGAATATAAACAAATGAAATATATTACTTTGCACTGTACCTTTTCATTCCTTGTTTTTCGTTTTGAAGGGGGTTCATTTTCGTCACATTCGTCAAAAACAAGCCTCTTCCTTACAGCTAAAGCAGTGTTCATAGGATGTAAACTTTTTTCCTTGTGCCCACCTTTGCGTATTAATTTCACAAAGCGCCCGGTTGAAGTCCGTTTATTATGACGGTTTGTTTGAGGAGACTCTGCAATACTGGTTTTAGACATTGACTCTTCGTTTTCCATACATTCAGCGTGGTCAGAAGTACAAATATATAGGCTCCAAACACCGAAACTTGCACCACCAATTGCCGCGATGTGACTCGGTACGGCGGCCGAAAACATCGAGGAAACTATAGTTATTCCAAAAATTATTACTTTTCTTTTCTTTTATTTCGGCCACGAAAATTGTTAGCGTTTTAAATAGCATTTTAACATTTTGTTTTGTAAAAAAATTGACGTATTTGTTTGGCGAAAAACGTTTTCCTGCAAAAGACGCCATGTTTATATTTTGGTTTTTAAATCTCGCGAGGACCACACCACAGAATAGGAAGTTATACCAGAAGCGTAACTCGAGCAAATATTTGTCCGCGTTTTTACAAGCGATTCGTCATCAATCACGCCATCCTGGCTAGTACAACCGGCACTTTGTACCTACCAAATCCTGATAAAAAGTTCCGGCTGTACTAGCCAGGATGGCGTGGCCTGACGTGAGCGAGTTAAAATTTTCGTGGACGTCAAACAATAAGGGAAACGACTAGAGTTACGCTTCTGGTATAACTTCCTATTCTGTGACCACACGGCTATTTTAAATTTCCCGCCATATATAGGAAGAACGTAACCCCGGGGATAAAACCCTAGGGAGCCACCTTAAAGGATATCTATGACATTGACGACAACAGGACATGGAAATCTGTTTGTATCAAATGCAAAAATGCGCGCCTTTCAAAAAGTGCCTCATTGTTGCTTTTAGTTGACTTTTATAGTGTTTATCTATCGTATTTTTCACTTCCTAATCTGTAATATAGCACATTTCATAGTCTATTATATAGTGTAATCAATTTTGCATGCATTGTTAACTTGTAAATCTAGATAGTTTTGGAGGCACAGGAATTGGGCGGGTAACCTGTTGTGTCCACCATGTTACCTGTATCTTGTGGTAAATAAAGTGATTTAAAGATTAAAGAAAGATTAAAGAATTGTCCAAATATACTATTAATATAACAAAAAGTATATATGTTTTAGAGTAAAAACATATTTAATACCACAGCTAAAGCCGAAATGCAAAATTCACTCATTCATACTTCGTGGTAAAGTTGAAATTGTGCTTTAATATAGTACGCGGACATGACGAGAAATCCGCTACAAAACTAGTGACATTTAAACTCATGGCAATTTCCAATTCTTCCTCGCTCAAGCAGCGCCCGCCATCTTGAAACACGAAAATGCAATGAAATCGCTTTCGAACAACGTGGGGGGTCCGCGCATCACATATGTTTCAAAGCTTTGACTGGCGTTTCACCGCCCATTCTTATAGACGCCCGGGCCAAAGCAGTCACGCTCCTGCTGATCAATGATAGAGTCCTTCCTCAATCACTGATGGTCTATTTTGGTATAGAATGCATTGTACACATTTTTCTTCATATTGTCCAATGCATGGCAATTTTGGTTTTATTTTATTTAATAGCTGACAGACAGCAATAAATTTTTTATCCAACTTATGAGCTAGTCATAAAATTGATTACCCAACCCATATCTCTTCGGTACCGACCCCGGGTATAAATAATGAACGGTCCCTTAGTTTCAATCATGCAGTATGGCCTGACGTGTAAGTTGCTCAAACCATCTCGAGGCGGTCAGGCTTCTGCATGGCTTTGTCAAGTACTGCGCGGTATGTGTCGAATTAATACATGCAATTCGTCAAACCCGTTCTTTCTACAGCCTTATACCGTAGTAGAGAAGGGTAATACGAACGAACAAAAGATTTGTACTTTGCATATAATCCCGCTCCTATTGATTTAATAACTTCACCTTCTACACACTTATAAAATATAATTGTTTCCCTAATTGAATTTGAATTTATTAAATTTGCCACTGAAAAAGACGTACTTTACATATACAAAAAACTACTAAATTACCCTAGTAAGTAAAATGGCAGGGTCACCACAACAGCAGTTGCCAATTACCGTGGGTTACTTGTGTAATAGCATAGTTGCCCGGGTTTCTTTTGTTTCAACAGGGGCGATTACTAACTAATCGCCCGCTGTAGCGGGCGATTAGTTCTAATCGCCCGCTAGAGCGGGCGATTAGAACTAATCGCCCGTTACCAAGGGTCACACCTTTGTCTCCCTGACGACTACGCATTAGGCAAGTGCCTCACGCACATAATCGTGCAAGGAACAGCAACAGTTAGCTCAGAGCCGTCAATAGTCTATCATCCGATCCCTGAGTTGCCGCATCATTTAAATTACGTTCGTGCAGTCTCCAATTTTATACTAATATATTTAGCGTTTTTGTTGTGGTACGTTAAATGATAGATTGCGCATGCGTAACCGATTAAAGCGTAAAAAGTGCGCATGTGCAACAAGCTTTTACATCCCACAAGCAATGAAGCAAATGTTTTAGCTTAAATACGCTGATTCCAAGTATGGCATGTTTGTCCATTTTTAAATGGGAGCGAAACTATGCTATTACAAACTAATAGCATGGCTTTTCGGGAGATTAGTGATTAAATGACCCCTTACCCTCGTCAGGTTTGCGGAATTCCCTCGGGCTTCGCCCTCGGGAATTCCGCAAACCTGCCTCGGGTTACGGGGCCATTTAATCACTAATCTCCCTCAAGCCATGCTATTACTTATAAATATAATTTCGGAACCGCGCGTACTGTAATGTGAAACGGAATCTCAAAATTTTAACGAGTTCAATGTGTATTTTAGAAGACAAGATCCAACTGGATGGCTGAATTATAATGCACCTGGAAAACGGACTTTTGATGAAATACAATTTAAACGGTAAAGTAGAAAATTGTGATCTTCAGTTAAGGTTGCAAGACAGCGTTTGTGGCTTTCTGGAAAGAATCGCTACCGCGCGCTTTATATAAATGCGATTTCTAATCAAAACTTCATCAAATGTTCATTAGTGCATGCAGAATATCAGTATAATTATTGACTAATTCTTAAACGCTACACTTTCATTCTTATCTTAACTCTAACCCTTGTGATATAATTTGAGAAGCGTGCGTTCTGTAATGTGAAAAGGAATCTCGAAATTTTAACGAGTTCAATGTGTATTTTTTAAGACAATTTAAACCTGGTTTTGGCGGCGGGGGACTGCACCTGGAAAACGGACTTTTGATGAAATACAACTTGAAAGGTAAAGTATAGAAAATTGTGATTTTCAGTTAAGGTTGGTTTAGTGTTTGTTGTACAAGCAGCCCTAGCCAGAGTTTGTAATTTTTGAAGGAATATTTCCTGAAGCACGCCTAATCAGTTTCACCTTACTCTTTCTTTATCACTATACATTCCAGTTCGACTACACATATTAGCTAGAATTTATTATTGGGTATGTGCAGTAAAAGTGCGCAATGCAAAGCTGATGAAACACTTTAAAGTCTACGCCTACGGTAATCACATGCAACAACTGTTGACAAATGAGATTACAGAAAAAGTAACTTGTTTGAGAATTAGTTCCATATAAGGGCATACATAGATGTAAGCAATAAATTATTAAAAGTTTAAACCTGCGTGCCCCTTGACACCATAGTCAATAGAATAAAAAGGTTAGGAAACTCGATGCAGACATAATAGACCTCATTATCTATGTTTTTGTCTTGGTTTATGCAAAAAATGGTGGGTGTTCATCGTCACGCCGGTGTATTGTATTTTCGCCAGAGTAACCAATAGCTATGTTTTCATTTCGTCATTGTGTAATATCACGACTGGGTAATTAACGTTAACCAACACACTGTTATTGGTTGGTTAGGCGAAAAGCAATACACATGCATGTGACGATGAACCGACAATTTCTTGCATAAACGAGACCAAAACTTAGATAATGGGGTCTATTAAGTCTGCATCGAGTTTCCTAACCATCAGATTCTACTGACTATGTTGCCATATAGCAAAAACATTTTTTTTGATAACTCGGTGAGTTTTGAAATTGTTTCTTTCAAACTTGGTCAAATGCTACCACTACTAAAGAGCTACAATCAGAACCGAAAAAATTTTTCAGGTGTATGTCAACAATTGCAAGGTGCTCTGTAACTTTTAAATTTTTAATAATAAGTAAATTTAAGTTAAAGGAAAGTGGCATTAATAATTTGGTTCACAGTTTTGACGTACCCACTTGATTCTTCAACAGTTAGACTGAAAACAGTGAGCGGTCCACCATCTTGGATCATCAAGGATGTGCATGTTACGTCACAAGTTGGGTCACGCAATATTTTATCTTGACAGCCAGTGGTCAATATGAGCCCAAAACTAGTTCTCTGTTGCTATTTCAAATTTCAAATTGAATATAGAAATTTTACAAAAACGTTTCATGCGGTCACTTAGATGCAAGTTTATAAGGCTAATCCATTGAAATGAATATAACGCTACCTTCAACCGGAAATTTGAAGCAAAACTTGAAGGTCAGACCCAGTCTTTTCACGCATGCGAAAAGCGCTCAATCAGTCAACGATGATATAAACACGCGTGATCTTACTTCCAGACACGCGTGTCAGGAGATAATATTTGCCTTCAAGAAAAAGATAGGCAGTTTACCTGAAGGTAGCTTTCCAGCTATATTCATTTCAATGGGTTAATCACACTTTTGACGTCATCAAAACCATAGTTAATGAGGTTAAGAATAAATTCGAGATGGCTGGCAGCTCATTGTTTTGAGACAAAATATTCCAATAGTAAAGCGTGACATGAGAAATCTGCAATATGAGTTAATACATAATTCAATACGTTCTTTCGAATGTTAGAAACTAAATTTTAAGTTCCAATATCCTTCAATTCATAAGCATGCAGTGTTCATGACCTAACTAAACTGATTGCTGAATTTAGACGCTTGAAGTGGCATTTTATGATCGTAGCAATGGTCGTTCTTTGTCCAAATAATGCGCAAATATGCTAAAACGTATGCTCCTTGTTTCAATATGAAGAAATACACACAAAATAGGATGTCACGTGTGTTTTAATTGACAGAATAATAAGTTTATACAAATAACACAACTTTATTAGCTCTTTGTTAACTTATTCTTTATAAAATACTATATACACTGTACATACGAATTATTTCGTGACACTGGCGTGGCTCCAACCTTGCAAGCCAGGCTCTCTACCTCCGGTTAGGGTGGCTTGTGGGAGGTTGGCGTGGCTCACAGCATGCATGCATCTTGTTTTAATTTTTACCCAAAACTGGTTCAAACATGCAACTGACCGGCTATAGGCTTTCCTCGAAGTCATAACTATATAATATGGAAATAATAATATTTATGTCGAGAGCTTGAAGAATTGGAGTTTCCTAAAGGTCTTTGCATTAATAGAAGAATGACAAAAACGGAAAATATTAGATTACGGTAGCAATTCCTTGAAAAAGTTCCAAAAATGCTCGTTAAGTTGGCTCGAAATGTTAATCCTCACAAAATCCTTTATACATACAAGAATCACTTTAAAAATCTTTATGTTATATTAATAAACCTACGCGTGATCATCAGTTTCCACGGGTGAATATGAACTAAAGAACTAATTCAATCGGTATGGTCTGACGTACAAGTTGCATAATCTATCTCGCGTTTGTCAGGCAGTTCTGACTTTATCATGCTCTGCTCTGCATGTATATGTCGAACTAATACATGCAATTCGTCAAACCATTTCCTTTGTACAGGCTTACCGTACTAGAGAGGGGTAATATAGGAACGAAGAAAAGATTCGTACTTCGCATATAATCCCGCTCCTATTTATTTAATAACTTCGCCTTCTAACACATTATAATATAATTATTGTATCCGTAATTCATAAACGCTATTAACACTTTCACCTCTAATTCTTAGTCATAATCCTTGTGATATAATTTCGGAACCGTGCGTACTGTGTTGTGGAAAGGAATCTCAAAATTTTAATCAGTTAAATGTGTATTTTAGAAGACAAAATCCAACTGGAGGATGACTGATGCGGCTGGAAAACGGAACCTCTAAGAAATACAATTTAGAGGTAAAGTAGAAAGTTGTGATTTTCAAGTAAATTTAAGTTAAAGGATATTAACAGTAAGAATTTAGTTCACAGCTTTGACGTGTCTCTCTTGATTCTTGAATAGTTAGATTGAAAACAGTGAGCGCTCCGCCATCTTGGATGATCATGGATATGCATGTTACGTCACAAGTGGGGTTGCGCAAAATTTTTATCTTGACAGTTAGTGGTCAATATGAGCCCAAAACTAGTTTTGAGTAATACCTATACAAACAAAGGAATTATTTCATGTTTCGCTCGCTACTCTGGTTTAAATAAATGATTACAAAGCCCAGTCGAATTGTAATCAAGACCCAACGTGTCGACACTCCAGTCTAGTGTCTTCATCGGGAGTGATCTAAAGTTACAAACTTAAATACCCAAGGGATGACATCACCTGTCAATCAGATGATGTATTTCTCTGGCAGATAGGCACTGTCATCCCTATTCAAAGCATGATTACTCATATTTATATGCCACGCTTCAAGGCAAAGCCTTTGACCATAGCGATTGTTTGTGGTAATTACTTTAGAGTTTTCCCACGCAATCTCGTGTTTGGTGTAACATGCTTGTTCTGCTAAAGCTGATTTTCCCTTGTCTAAAGTTGAAACAGCCTTTTGATGTTCTTTTAGCCGTGTACCAAACTGGCGTTTAGACTGACCCAAATACTCTTTTTCGCAGGTATAGAATATACAGCATGAGTTTTCTGATTTGTTTTAACAGGATCTTTTGGCTTTGCGAAAATATGGCCTAAAGTTAAATAGGGTTTTAAGGCAACCTTAGTATAACAATTACTTAAGATTCTCTTGATTGTATGGTTCTGTGACACCTTGAATGTATGAAACTATTACATAACCTTAACAGAGGTATCACCCTCTGAGTTTTTTGGTTCCTACAAACACGTGATCTCAGGCAATCATTAAGAAAACGTTTTGGGTAATCGTTTTCCCCTAAAACATTTAGAACATATTCACGTCATCCCTTGGGTATTTAAGAAGCCACGATTGTAACTTTAGATCACCCCTGATGATGACACTAGACTGGAGTGTCGAAACGTTGGGTCGTGATTACAATTCGACTGGGCTTTGTGATAATTTATTTAAACCAGAGCAGCGAGCAAAACATGATTGATATACCTGGCCGGTAGTGAACGAACAAAGGAATTATTTGTGCTATATATTGTTTTCTCTAATGTTGATCATGGTATTGTATTTCACAGTCCTCGCCTCTCTGCTCAGTGAAATTAAGGCATGGACAAAATGTGATCCAGCGGCATGCAGAAGCCAAGCTGGAACAGCTTTGGGTGCATGGCTGGAATGGCTTTGGGTGCAGGGCGTATACGGCGTGCGTGAATAGTGTGGGAGGTGGGTGGGCGGTTTGTCTCACCCTTGGCCGCCGGAAACGAGTGAGCGAAAGGTGGATTTTAAAGTTCTACTCTCCCTTTTATAGTCTCCAGAGTCTGTACTGCACCGGCTGCGCGTGCCTCCTCAGCCATTTATTTCATTCTTTGTTACTTATTTTCACTTTGCATATGATTATGCAAATGAGCAATGCGAATAATAGGCACAGGAACGGCATAGTACAATCTAAATTGTTCATATTATTTTAATTCAATTTTTCACACTTTAGAATTTTCTCAACAAATTTTGTCGGGGTCGGTGTTTAGGTGTTTGAGAGTGTTCTAGTCTCCCAATATTTGCTCTCTTTGAAAGATTTCTTAGTAGCAAGTTATATAATCTGGTAATTGTTTTCAATCATGAAAGCACGATATCCCGCTAAGGTTAGCAAATCATTTGATTAAAATAGGTTCAGCAACTAACATTTTCACCAGCTGCAAGAAATGTCAGCAACTTGAGTTCACAGCCGGAATAGTTCACAAATCTCCACCGCCAAGAACAGTAAAACTTAAACTTAACCCATTGAGCGTCATTATTCTCCCCTTGCCGAGTATTATACAGTCATACGTTAGGCAGAGTAAAATAATAAAGTAATGCGCATTGTGGCGCAATGCAACCTAATGGGTTAATATTAGAATTCAGTTTATGAAATTGTAGAACTAATTTTTACTAATTATTTTTTTCTGTTCAATATGTTGTTTCAGGTGACTTGATCACATAACCAGCAGATGTTGAATGAGTGATGTGCACAACATTAGTTTAATAGTTTTCATTGTATCAATTTTATAAACGTTTAATTACTTGCTGATTAGAATTAAATATTTGCCTTCAACAGTGAATTCATTGAGTTTGTGTCTTTGACATTGTTGTTGTTATTTTTAATATTGCACTAGCTATTATCCTTACAATGATCCCGGGCCAATGAATGGCGTGGAGCGCCTTCCGGGCGTAAGCCCAGGCGAAGGTACTACTGTAATTCTGCTCGGCTATTCACACCCGAGGAAACGAAAGCATTAGCGAAATCTAAAGTTCATCAATGATCGCGGGCGTGGGTTATCGTACGTGTTTTGGTGAGTGGTCATCCTCACTGATCTCAAAATATGTAGCGGCTTGTCGTGAGTAGCGAACACTGATTGGTCAAATTTGAAACTTGCATTATAACGACTACATGACGACAGCGAAATAACAATCATTTCTTGCAAATATATTGTATTTTTGTATTTTCAAAACCTTTTTGAGGAAAAAAGCCCAAAAACGTCTAAAAGAAGGGAGCAAAGACGCTGATGTTAATGAAGGTTACTTTGTTTTTATTACTGATGTATTTGTTTGGTTTATAAATTATAATTGCTTTAAAAACTGATACGGTCATTGCGTATATAAATGGAAAAAAGACAGCATATAATTTCAGTGTAATTTTATTGTTTACCCTTTTTTATTATATTAACATCTTTAAATAAAGAGGAAAGCAAAGTTATTTTCATGCGAGAATTTGAAATCAGTTTAATTCAAACTCAACGTGCCGTAGCCTACGGCCTGGGGTGAAGCGTTTTCTACGCATCTTAAAGACCATGTCAAGTTCGTAATGTTCCTCCCCCGCGGAGCCCGCCAAAATCCTGCCCGCTGCAAATCAGGCCCCCCATAAAATTGAGGGCCTGCCACGCAGGCTAGCGTTTCGACTGTTACCCGCAATCATTTCTAAAATCTGAAACCTTTGTCCTTATATTATCATACTGCGCGAATTCTTTACTGGCATTGACTTGGTAGTAAGATGTCACAAATAGTTCCACGTGCTAATTAAGGCAAACGCGATTTGGGAATGAAATTTAAATGATGTGTTCGACCATCAATGATGTGCTCGACTGTCGACGGGTTCAAAATTTGCGGCGGCGCCATATTGTTTTGATCGTTTTTCCAAATTTCGTGTTGGTATTTCCACAGCACGTCTTGATAACGACATGTTGATATGATTTTTCCATATCAAGGTTATGACATCATAACGTTGATACGATGGTTTCATATCAAGGTTATTATGTCACTTCGTTTACTATTTGGTCAGCTCTTCAGTTGATATGACGATTTCACAGTTGCATGATCGTTAGCTAATCAGAAATCATGAATTCTTTCAAATAAATGATAAGTATACTTTATACACATATAGAGGACTATAGAAAGGTTTTGATACGAGCATAAAAGTTCTTCACAAAAATTGAATGCACCATAATGAGAAAAATTTAGGCACTTTCACCTGTACTTGTCAAACAAGTCCAATGAAATTTTTAAGTATAACAAGCTGTCTGGCTATCTTAATTAATTAAATTAATATCAGTGACTAGAAGATACGTACAGGGCAGCAGCAGAGCTTTGTTAATAACTATTTTTAATAATAATAACAAATAGAAAATGGCTTGCGTAATTGTGTGCTCCCGTACCGTAATATAACAATTGTTATTTATGCTGGTTTTGTATGATCTTGTAGATTTATTGATATCTTCTGAAGTTGGGTTTTTAAAAATTGATTTGAAGAAATATAGGCTTTTCAACCCGTACGTTGAAATAAGCCAGTTATTATATACATGCAGACTAGGATCCCCGCAAAAAACTGTCTAACAGAGAATAAAGATCATATCGAATAATGAATGAAACTAAAATTTGATCGCTTGAACAAGAAACTAGGTAAAAATCATATTCTTTTTTTTTTAAAGTTATTTATATTTGCGGAATGTCTGCAAGTTTTTAACAATTATTAATACAGACCAAGGTCAATGTTATGTACCGAAGCGAAGCTGTGATGGATTTACATTAACCGAGGTCTGAAAAATTCTTGATATCATGCAAAAGCCGAATCCCGATCAGTAATTGTTTTATTATTCATTTACATTTGAAAAACAGCATGCAACAAAGCAGGGCCTTTTTTAAGAATTCGCCCGTGGGGGGGGGGGGGGGGGAATCTATAAAAAGGGACATAGACCTACTATACTGTACTGGAGTGTGGAGAGATGACAGACGGTTGTTGGTGACAAAAAGTTTGGTATAATGTCGTAAGTAATAGTATAGGGGGGATCTGGGGGAATTCTCCCCTAGAAAAATGTTGTATTTTTCCACCCCTACGACTGCACTTCGTGCGTTTTCTGAGACACTGATTTTTGGATATACAGCGTTACATTATACTATAGACTGAATCTTCAGTTAAGCACTTACATGGTACATGTTTAGTATCGGTAATAGCATGGTTTCGAGTGCAATTTGGGTATAACATGCACGAGTGAATTCTTCAAAGACCTCAAAATAGCACGAGTCCGAAGAACGAGTGTTATTTGAGGTCTTTGAAAAACTCACGAGTGCATGTTTATCCAAATTTCACGAGAAACCATGCTATTACTTATTAATAATTTACATAAAAATGTTCGAGACAATTGTAGTTTTAACTTACGCGTTTATAGCGAATTTTCCACTGGCAAAGTTTTCCTGGCTTTGTTGCAGGGTTGATTTTAAGTACAGTTCTACAAAAAATGTGCAGTTCTAAACCCATTTGTGCAGTTCTTAAAACTCAAATGTGCAGTCACCAAATTAACAAAAATATAACCTCAAAACATTCTTCTCATTTACTCGTTTTCCTTGTGGATGCTCCATATGCCAGAAATGCCGCCATTGAGCATCAAAAATCTAAATTTTTTCTGGGAGAGGATCACCAGACCCTCATATTTTCCTCATAAATCACATACGTGCTGGGGTAATGGAACAGGAGGTAAAATTGGAGCGAGTGAAGCTATCCAAAAAAGATTAATAGAGTGGGAGAACCTAATATTCTTTGCTGTCTAAGGTTATTATATAATGAGTATTCATGATTCCATTTACATGTTTTGAAACAGTTTTTGTGGGTAGTTGGGTGAAACAAATCTTTGCCAGAACTTACGAGCCTCTAAATTCAAAATTTCGGGGGACACCCCCTACCTGTAGCTTCCCCACCCAGAATCGAGTTTGTCTGGCCCCACCCAACCACACCTTTATTCTACCACCTATATACAAAATTAAGAGTCTATCATAATTTGCAACGTTAACTATCAATTTACAATGTTAAATATACTGTAGATAAAGATCCTTTGACCCCCCCAGTCAAACATCCTTTGACCCCCCCAGTCAAACACGTGATGCTTCGTAACATCCGTAATATGTGCAGTTCTAAACTTTTCTTAAAATAAATCCTGCTTTGTTAAATCACATTATAAAACAATAACAGCTTGAAACTTCCACTCAACTATGTCATTTTTGTTAGTCTTGTTTAAGGTAAATGCTTTTCCATTTAAAAATAAAGATAAAAGCCATATTTTCCTCGCGAAGGCGTCTTTTACTTTGTGTAGCGCGACACCATGTTTGTTTTGTTTTGAAGCAATCTGTGACCGTTACTTCTTTAAATTAAATTGCTTTAAACTGATTGGTTGATTTAATCATCACAATGTTTTTCCACGAATCAGATCAGTTTGTTACAGATTTTTGCACTGTGATTACAGAAAATTGCACTGGGATTACAAGTGATTGCAGAAATAGGAGGCTATCCACTTATTGTATTTACAACACAATGTTTAGCATTTTTAAACTAAGACTTTGAATCATTTGAAGATAATAGACAGGAAATAATATTCACAAAGCAAATATCAATTTGAAAATCACGGAACTTGAACTTGGAACTTAAATAATGCTAGTTTGGGCAACGTGTATTTTTGGGAGGACAAAATATTGGAGAATATTACGAATAATCATACAATGTTGCTGAGTAATTTTAACGTTGCGTTGTTTTTATTCCATATATTGTATTTACAATTTAAACTCCTTTCCTAACTGTTAAATATAAGTTGGTATTTAATCTACTGTATAACACAACAGCTGGACAAACTTTTCGCATTCAGTTTTGTTATAGCTACTCGCCTAAGTAAAAATTTATTGTCTATATTGAATAGTTACTTACTCTTGTTCAGTGTGATAAGAACATTCATAAATTCACAACTCAATCTAATTCTTGGGACTAGCATAGAGTAAACTGATTAACTGGTTAGGTATTCTATTTCTTCTAAAAAAGGAAGATTATTTTAGATCAAGTCTTCAATTTTCCTGCTGTTAATTAAAGGATCACTCATCAAGGTCTAATATAAGGATTGTATTTCTCTAGTACAGCCGTCACTGAGCTATTATAAATGTTATTACTCAGTGAATCAAAGTCAGCCCTTTTCTGCTTTGTATCAGCAAATGTTTGATAAGTTAAGTTCTCAAAAGCAAACTAATTCACCGAGGAGACCACAATGGAACAACGGAGGCGAACACCGTATCTTGTCTTGATACAGGATTAGAAATGATGTCATGTTGATTACGTCCAGTCTTGATTCAATAGTGTTTTCCTTCAGCTTATTTCAAAAGAATTTGAACGACTACCAGGCTTTCTACTTCGTATTAAGAAAGGTTTGCTCAGAAATGGTCCACTTTCAGTTCCATCAATAAATTTCAGAAAAACAATTAAGTGAAACAGATTTCTTCTCTCAGCGTCGACTGTGGCTAATTTATATACTGGTGTCCCATTAGGAGTATCGTACACTGAATCCAGATCAGCTGAAAATAATTGCTAGAAATGTATAAAAAAATGAAATTAGTAAATTGTTTACAAAATACAAAAAATGTCCCACTTCCGCTTCTGTACTCTGTTGTGATTTACTGTATTTATTTCTTTTTATAGCGTTATCGATTAAGCAAATACTGTACCTCGATTGAATTTTGTTTTGTTTTATCATATGACAATTTCTAGCAAAGGATACAATTTTCGTTACATTCATTGCATAAAAGCAGGGGCGAAACTTGGGGGTTGGGGGGGAGGGAACCCCCCAAAAATACGAATCATATCCCGATTGGCAGGGCGATCTAAATGATAGAATATAGACTTATTAAGTAACTTATTACAGCTAGCAAACGATAAGAAGTTCGTATGCATGTACATTGGCATCGGCAATTAAATTATACACGTAGCTTAATGATGTATTGTATTAGCGCAGGCGCTGCAGGCTGCAGGGCATCATTGGTTTTGGCAGGGCAATTCAGCCAGACACACCCCCCCCCCCCACTAATTAGAATGGGCTAGTTTCGCCTCTACATAAAAGGTACGAAAATTTTCAAGATCATGCACAAAATTCACAAAATCTCCTCAAAAGCTTCCAAGCGTCTATATGCTCTTCGCTCAAGGTCACCTATGTACTGTTTACTCTTTTGTAAGACCGATTGATTCTTGAATATGCTTGCTCGTTATGACACGTGTCAATCCAAATTACTTAACCAATGAAAGCGTTCAAAAAAGAGCTCTTGCTATCATTTACTCCGAGCTAATCTGCGCTGAGTCACTTGGCGCTAAAAGTGGTCTTAATTCTCTCTTGATAAGAAGAGATAACCTTTGTAAAATGTTTCCCAGAAAATTAACTATTAGTAATGATAAGCTTTCTGAACTCTTACCGAAGAGAGAACCAACAACTTTCAACTTGAGACAAAAGTGGAATTTATCTCTATAATTAAATGTTGAACAGAACTTTTTAAGAAAAACTAGTATATAGCTACCTTTTGCTATTCAGCATCATTCGTAAAATATTTATTGTATATAACATAAATTTTTAAAATTTATACATACAATATACTGGTCAAAAGTTTCAGATCATCTGTTTTTGGCTATTATAAAAATTATACTCATATCTAACTCGAAATGCACCCATTTAAAATGAAAATTTACCATGTAATAGAGCGAGACATTTAATTGTGATCATATCAATCCGATTATTAATTTTTTTAGTAGTATTTTATCAGGAATATTGTAAACCGACGTGCACGGTTTATTTATTTTTTGTTATATAAATTATTGACATTTTAAGCTGAAATTAAACGGATCCAACTCCCATGCAATATATGCTCGAAGCGATATAAAAGAATATAAATTAAAACAAGGATTTTCCAAGAACTTGAAAATTGGGATTTTTTCAGTTGAATACATTTTGCTCCAATTTAAAAAATGTGCATCTTACTGAAATTATATATTCCGTGCATATTGATTTCGCAAGTAGTTTGTTAGTATATAAATAACAATAGATGCTAATTTAGTTTGCAAGTTATTTTGTATGGGGTAGGTATTTTTCGAGTTAATTAAGCCCTTCGAGTTAAGCCCTTTTCGAGTTAAGCCCCTGGCACGCCCTTTTTCGCCGGGGGCTTAACTCGAAATCAATTAACGATTTAAGCATTCGAGTTAAGACCCGCCATTTGGTGGATGTAAACAAGTGACGCGTGTATACGCGCAAAAATGTTGGCAAATATTAAAGGAGGGAGAATGTAAAATTTCAGCAATTTTAAAAAATATATTTTACTAAGATCTCTTTTGCTTTGCAAAGAGCTTTGCAGACAATGACATCATGAAATGAGAGAACTCAATAAGGATTTGTAAACAACAGCTCACTCAGGAAGGCAATTACGGCTTTAAAAACTAAATATAGAGAGAGAGAGAGAGAGAGAGAGAGAGAGAGAGAGAGAGAG